GGAAGCAGCAGCTGCATCTAGTAATTACCGGAAGCTCTTCCAACTCATCCGAGCCACTGGCAGCAAGAAGTCTGGTGTGAGCGAAACGATCTGCGACGATGACGGAACGCCAATCACTAACATCCATCGACGTCTTGGACGATGGGCAGAATTCTTTGAAGGGCAGTTCAACTGGCCTGCTGCTCCGACAGCATCGGTCAGGCTGTCCTGCCCTCCATGGCCGGTGACGACTGATCCACCAAATGAGGCGGAAGTCCGCAAGGAACTCCAACTCTTGAAACGTTACAAATCACCAGGGCCCAGACGACTTACCTCTGGCTCTTTTTAAAGATGGTGGTGACATTTTGACTAAGGGACTGACGACGTTGTTTACAAAGATCTGGGAACTAGAGAGTGTACCAACGTCATGGAATGAGTCGATAGTTGTCCCTATCTTTAAAAAGGGTTCACGTTGTTCCTGTAACAACTATCGGAGGATAAGTCTACTTCCGTTTGCGTCCAAGCTATTGGCTTCCGTTATACTTCGTAGGTTGTTCAGAACCCGAGAAAGATTGACTCGCGAGGAGCAGGCTGGGTTTCGTTCTGGTCGAGGATGTATTGATCATATCTTCACCCTCCGCCAAGTGTTAGAACACCGCCATACTTATCAAAGGCCAACAATCGTAGTGTTTCTTGACATCAGGGCTGCCTTCGATTCGTTGGACAGAACTGTTCTCTGGGATTGTCTATTGAAGAAGGGTGTGTCTGAGAAGTTTATTAACATCCTAAAAGCCGTATACACAAACACCTCAGGTAGAGTGAGGGCATACAACCACCTTTCTCCATTATTCCATTCGAGCAGTGGGGTTAGACAGGGTAGCCTAATCTCACCATTCCTCTTCAACTTTGCCATCGATGACATTCTGGAAACAGCTCTGATGGATGTAAGTGATGGTGGTGTGGATCTGTTGCCTGGAGAAAGACATCTCGACCTTGAGTATGCGGATGATAGTCTTACTGTGAGAGAATGCCCAAGCCACGCAATCCGCACTTAATCAGTTGGCAATCAATGTCCGTAGGTATGGTATGTGCTTTGCATCTTCGAAAAGCAAAGTACTTCTACAAGACTGGCAGGATTCTAATCCTGTACTCACTCTGGATGATGAGCAAATAGAAGTAATCGAGAAGTTCGTGTATCTGGGTAGCTGCATAAGTGCTGGTGGTGGTGTGAGTGATGAGATCAATGCACGTATAGTGAAAGCCAAAGTGGCTTATGCCAATCTGGGCCATCTTTGGCGCCTTCGTGATGTTGGTCTGGCCGTAAAAGGTCGGATCTACAACGCGTCAGTGAGAGCAGTTCTGCTCTATGCTTGTGAAACCAGGCCTCTCCGAGCTGAGGATGTTAGACGACTCTCTGTATTTGATCATCGTTGTCTCCGAAGGATTGCTGACGTCGAGCGGCAGCACCATGTTAGTAATGCAGAGGTTCGGCATCGTGTGTTTGAGCACAGAGACGATAATGCGATTGGTGTCACCATCTTGAAACACCGACTTTGGTGGTTTGGACATGTTCTACGAATGTCGTCCCACAGAATTCCACGTCGTGTATCATTTGCCGACGCTGGGACTGGTTGGAAAAAGCGGAGAGGTGGTCAGTGTTTGACATGGTGTCGTGGTATGAAAGAAAGTTTCAAAGGGCTGGCTTGTGTTGGTCCTTCACGACTTCTTGGCTGGGGTTCGAGAGATGGTGCGACACAGTGGCTAGAGACGTTATCACATATGGCTCAGAATAAAAGCCAGTGGCGATCTGCTGTAACCTTCCCTTTCTTCATAAAAAGTGGTTGTATCTTCCTTAACTGGAAGATTTCTTCTGGTTGAACCTTTTCGTTTCCCCCATTATTGTTCTTTTTTTCATAATTCCCTACGTTCCTTACCTTTTTTCCCTTGTCTTTAAATTTTCATTGTTTTGTGTGGCGCATATATATTTGGTGCCCCCCCTATACCAAAATTTATGTGTTCAAATAAAATTAAATAAATAAAAATAAATAATCATAACACGTGAAATCAGTGTACATTGTTGTTTAAATCATAACCAGATGCATCGAGTTATCGTTAAATATGTATTAGTAGAATGATCGTGTGCATGCTCATGTCACTAAACCGACAACTTAGTAAGCATGTTGCAGGTTTGGTGTACGAGCGGCTAGCAATATGTGACATGGGGTAGCCATATATCCTCACAATTGAACAATAATAATTAAGCCATTGATGTGATAAATGATACAGAACATAATAAAGATGGTCGAACGGCCTCACTTAAAGCAGGAACATTTTACGTTACTGAATAATTAAAAACAGTCCAGTAAGTTTGGAATGTCATCACGTGAATAATCATAATAGAACAATCCACTGAATAGATCAATGAAAATTGACACGAGGACAACGTGCCGATAAGATAATACAATTTGAGCATGTCCATGTCACTGCTGTATCAGTTTCGATGAATGAGTTTGATTAGAGATTGAATCATTTGAGTAGCTCTTTGATTAAGTCGGACATTTCGATCGTTTATTGGGCGAGTAGAGTTCAATATGTTCACCGTCTGTGCAAATTTCCATGGTGTTTATTTCGAAGTTAGGCTTGTCACTTTAGTGGTGCCGTGATCTCTCTCCTACTTCATCGTATGATCGGAAACTGCGTTATTTATCGATTGAGCTGGCTTCGCTGAGTTTGTTCATCGAAAAAATGAAGTGAAGAAGGTTCTTCATCGAAGTCGTTTCCTGAGTTAGGTTCGTCGTCGGCGGGCTTACCACTTTTGGTGGCCCAATATCTGACTGCGGTTAGATTGTATGACTGATTGTTATTGAAGTAAAATGTAAGTATATCAGATTATCCCAGAGCAAAACTACAAAACGGTTAATTACAAGCTTATGATGTCATCATCCACAAACAGATAACTAGCCAATTTTGATTGTTTATTTTAGTGAGAATAATAAGAAAATGCTGCTTCACTGATTTACACCTAAAATAATCTTATTACAAGTTGCATCGGTCTTCGCTTTGCAGAAATATTGAACTCGATATCATATGATTTTATAAGAAATTTGAAAATGTCAATCAAAAATTCTACCAGGAAATACAAATGTGAACAACTGTAGTTTCTTTTTTTCACAAGTGATTGCGCTGTGTATGCAAAAAACAGATATTTTTATTAATATGAGAAATCCCAAATTAACAGTGACTTAACTAGCTAGAAGGTTAATTACAATTTACGGTAATCCTCTACTGAAGCAAGTATCTTACATTTAACGACGTTGACATACTTCATGTCGGAGGGAATATATATTCATATGACTTTTCAGCAGCATATCAGCGTAGCGCTTGATTAAAGCGAATACAACATTAGCAAATTAAAATCACATGAAATAACGAATAGCCCTTTCTTAAGCAAAATTTACCGAACGACTTAATCTTAATCTAGCCATTTAGAAAATATTAGTTGTCAATTAGCTGTAATGATAGTTACATGATCCTTCTGGCAATTTCTTAAAAATTTATTCGTCACCTCATCTAACTCGATATACTTCCTATTCATTGTGAGTCCTTTATACAGCCATTCAGATCTGAAAAAACGTACAAATTATTTACAATTTTAAGGCAAACCATCTCACTAATTTTATACCTCTGGATATTATTATTTCACCGTCTTATTATATTTTATAAATTATTCATTGTGTACGCAGACAACCTTAATAATAGTTCCTTTCGTTTCAAGTATTGCTTTTCATATGCAACATCGTGTTACCATTCTATCAAAGCAGTACTGTTTGTTAGTTTAATTAAATTTGCAATTAACTACCGAAATTCACGCGATTACGCGAATCTATATTGTTGTTCCTGTTCAATTCAACGTTATTAAACAAAAGATAACACTGAATGAATTTAACTACTTATGCCTGGTGTTGTACAGAATGTTTTGAGGTAAAATCAAAGTTTTTCATCCTGCGTTATTCTGACATAACCTATCACTTTAATTCTAAGTAATAGAAACTGCCGTAAAAATAAAGTATCTCTTAAAAATTAACTTTTAGACATTTACACAATATTTATAAAGCTTAAGAAAAACTCCTATGATACAGCCAACTGACTTTCACTTCAAAGAAACTTTGGGAACAACCAGCAACAGTCATTCATTTATCATGAAGAAACTGCTTTCAAATGATTTCTGACTATGAAGGTAAATTTGAACAGTAATAAGGACAATATATTATGTCACGAAAATGTTTGATAAAATCAGCTGTTTTTCTCATCATAACTTGTACTCTCAAATATTTCATGGTTCATTTTCTTCATATATGATCACAGCTATAAGGATTGATGGAAGGATTTACAATATTTAAAACCTATGTTGATAAATTAAAAATGAATATCAGATTTTAATGTGCAATTTCATGAAAGTATTTTACTATTTGATGTAGCTGATCTAAATGCACATGACAATTCCTTACTTCAATGAAACTGATTTGATATGGACAGCCAATCAGTATTAGCAAAAGGTCAATCGATGGTAATCAGAAGTGCATTTCATTGGCCGAGATATGGATCGATTTCTTAAGGAGAGAGTGGTTCAAATATGAATGAGTATTTGTGCATTCTATTCAATAGTCCAATACACATTCTCACTCAAGTACTCAATTGGAAGATTGGTGTGTAGCACACGGTATCAGATCTCGGACAGCGTAAGTTTCAACAAAATTAATGAATCCTAGTTGGTATTGAGCATTTCATAAGCGAAGAAAAACAATTACGTCATAAAGTAACATTTTTATTCCATTTCAAATTACAAATAATCAAAACTAAACAATCAGGAACTAATCAAAGTAAAATACTCTAAAAGAATATATAAGAGACCAAGTGAATTGAGTAGTCAATAAAATTAATACTCACATACAAATAGATTTACAATTTCCAACCATCCAAATAAGATGCCATAATAATAATAATAATAATAATAATAATAATAATAATAATAATAATAATAATAAATCTTTTCCTTAATAGACAATTGATATTGAGACAATATAGGGAAAGTGTTGAAAACAATGAAGGACTAATTAAAAAGATCGCGTATACAAAATAACAATAATCGAAAGGCGGGTGATTTGTTGTTAATTTAACATTAATAAAGATTTTTATTGTACCTATGATATAAAAGAAACGAAAAAAATTCAAGTTCAAATGAAACCAAAGGAATACATTAATAAACATGAACATGAAATTATTCAAGTAATAGCTAATAGAGTATTTCGTTGAATATTAATTAAGTGGTCATAGTATAACTTCTTTTGGGATAAAATAATTCAGATTAGTGAGTAATCTTACTTAAGAATTATGAAAAATGCACTGGCCACATCAAAAATAACGTAAATATAAACAGATAACTGGAAACGTTAATGTAATTAGATATTAGTTTCGATTAATGTCCCGTTTTAAAACACGATCATCTTACGATATGATACATGATTAGCTGCCTGTATCAACTATCATACATTGTACTAGCGTGTTAGAACAGTCCAACAAAATAAAGGAAGAAAAAGCTGCATAAAAAGTTGTACGACTCGATAAATGTACGTACAATAAATATGTATTCAGAATTAAATGGAATGATTATGACTACAGCAAGTATGAGATCTTTAACAGGTAAAGAGTTTACTAACTCAACAAACAGTGAGAATGCTTACAGTTGGTTCGCTATTTAGTTTCGACACTTAACGTTACCTGACTGTATTTGCTCAGTATATCACATACGTTTCTGATGATTTCCAAAACAAATATCTTTTGTATTTTTCTGGCTAAACGGTTCATACTGAATACGGCTTTAGGCATAGGAATTGAAACTAAACGAAGTAGATAAACTTTAAGATAATACGCAATAGTACGATCATTGGCACATCATAGGTTGGCAAGACATCTAATAGATGCACGTCATACGCAGATAAAATATCGTTACACAAAAGCGAAGTGAAATACACAGTATTAAATATCATAGACGACGTATAGAAGGCTAAACTTCCGTAGATAAACGGCTATAACAAAATCATCATAAAATTATGATAGTGAAATAAATCTAACAAAACTTACGAATATAAACTGTGTACACCACCTTCTAGTTGCGCTGATGAACTTCGATGTTCAAAGCGTAACTTTCCACTTCTCGACATATTGTGTAATTGTGTTATATTTCTAGCGCCAATTTGTTGTAATCCATGTTTAACACCAGCTACTAAATACGGAATTAACTGATGAACTGAACCTCTATCAATAATTGTTCCAGAAACACCTTGGGCAAATTTAATACAATCTGATTCACTGAAATATCTCGCTTGACTTTCTGTGTGCTGAGACATTGCTTCTAGACTCCCCATACCTATACAAAAACGTTTTAGAAATACTGTCAAAGGTTGCAAACAACTTAATTTAAAGAATAACCATAACACTACAAAAATATGTGTTTTAAAACAAGTAGACATTTCCATTCATAATAATTGATCTCCCTGAAATCCTCTATCGAATTACATTATTGACAATTAAAATAAAACTGCATGGCATTTTTTTCACTTAATGTTGCATAAATAATGGTTCCATCGATAATAATTAGGTAATGGTAGACGGATGAATAAACTGACTGACCGATGTGGACAATACTGAGAATGTGCACTTTACATATCCTTCAATATGTGCACGGTCAACACGGATTAAATGAATTATTTTTAAGTATGCTAGCTTAAGAGTAACATTACCTCGGTATTTTTTCAATTTCACGCCATCAGAAAATATATATTCTCCAGCTGACTCCGTTGTACCAGCTAAAAGTCCACCCATCATAACTGCAGATGCACCAAAACTCAAAGCTTTAACAATATGACCAGCATTTTGAATACCACCATCTGCTATTACGGGCACATCATACTTATGAGCATATTCAGATACCTGAGAAATTTTGGAGATATCATAATACAAAATATGCTTTAATTCAGCTAATGCAATTTAAAATGTTTGTAAATTTCATGCATTCATCAATATATTAGGAATATCTAAATGAAAAAAGTAGTATTTCTATCAGTGTAACTATCCTAACCAATTAAATGTATCGACATAAGGTGAGATAGTAGCTTAATGCTTGAAATTTACATATCTAATTTATCAAAAAGTACATTTGATATGTGAATGACTTGTGTAAAGAATAATGATTCCATTCAGTTACTCTAACTGACGTAGGCAGATTCACTTAGAAACTGACCTATTTATTCACAGTCATCACAAACTATAAAGGATCATTTATAACGTACTAATTATGAAAGTGAAGAGTTCAGCTAAATTCAGTCTGTTTTTTACCAAAATAAAAAATAAACTATTTTTTAAACCAAGCGACGTAATCTAATATGCATTAACACCTAGTTATGGCATTCACAACCCGATATCAAAAGTAAAAAATCCCATTCTAATTCTCCTTTCTATATAAATTACTTCACTAGTAAATTTTCAAGACTCCAGAATAGTTCTTTGCAATTCGTTCGTGAAATAAAATCACTACCATTATTTGTTCACTACATCGATAGTTACCTCTCCTCAGAGAGTGACTTAAATAACATCTTATTACACTGGTGAAATTATATTGACTTTAATGTTTGATCATCGATTTTACAGAGCACATTAAATAAACTTAACTTCTTGTAAATATTTTACACCATCACTATTCCTAGTTAATTTAAATAATACCTATCTAGATCAGCAGGCAATAAAACTTAGCATATGTGTAACAGCGGACCAATCACAGCAAACTTTGTTGTTGTTCTGTGCTCTCTGTTTCCGTCTTCTTTATTCTAGTTGTAGATGATTAAAACTACTCTGTAATGACGCTGGAATTGTCCCTCAATACACTATTCATACTTCTACAGGAGGTTCCACTTCCTGTGCTAAGAATATCTAGTTCACAACCGTTGTCTTCATTATGGCACTTGTCACACATTCCTTCCTTCCACTACAATTTACGAACATATTTTCGAAAAATCTAATTTTACTACTCTTTCCTTTATATGTAATAACCTGATTATGTCTGTTAAATTGGTATTCATTCTGTAATAATTTATAGAATACAATTTATTTTTTTGTTGTTCTAAATATAATTGGTGATAGTTTATACTCCATACACATGTAGTTTACCAATGCAGTTCAAATTGAACTTACTTTATAAACAGCCTTAGCTTGTGATCTACCGATAGCAGTTACTTCTTGAGTAATACAAATTGACCCACTGCCCATTCCAACGCGTAAACCATCCACACCAGCATCAATTAAATTTTTCGCTTGTGCACAGGTAACAACTTGTTAACAGAAAAAAATAGAAATTATCAATAGTAAACAGTGAATATTATGTGTCTATTACTAACGATTGTAGGAAAAATTGTTTTAATTTGACTTTTGTTTTTATTTATTTTAACACATAGATAATGGTACAAGGAAGCACCAAGTACATATACACCACACAAATCTCATTTGATTTGTGTGAGGGCTGAGATACTACCCGGGTGCCCAAACCGAAGCAGGTGGTTTTCTTAGGGGGCCACACCCCGAGCCTTCGACCTGAACGTCTGACCCACAAGGCAGTGGAGCATCGTGAGGAGATGCAGTCCCATGGTAGCCGGTGACCAACGATTGGTTCATACGCCATTTGTTCCTTCAGGATACTGGAGCCCATGTGCACCATTGGTTTGGGATCCAGTTAAAGCGCCGGACATTTGCTTTTCGTCCTCTCATTTTCGTGAACAACACCCCCGCCACGAGGAGGCAGTGAGTAGGACTTCCCTGGCAGAGGCTATGTACGCATGGCCACGTGAGAGCATTTTGAGAGGGACAGCGGACTCTTCCGACGCTCGGCCGTACCAGGGCATTTGGGGAACGATCGTAAGTAAATTTATTTTAATTTATGACTTTTGTATCGAAAGCCACTCATTCATCAGGAGAAAATTCTTAGATTATTTAGAGAACTATTGAAAAATCGGCGGGCGAAAATTATTCTCATATTTATAGTTCAGTAGATAGATTAGGATGAAACATCTATCTGCAATAGATACACAGCTAAAAGTAAAATTTAAAATTATTTAAAAATATTCGTAAATTACTTTGCTTACTTATAAGTAGTGAAAAAATTAATAAAAAACTTGTCAACACTACAAAAAGTTATGTTATAGAAGCACACGAGACTATCGATTTGCACGACTATACCTTCATGGACAAGCATCTCAAGCTTATTCTTATGAAAGCTTAACAGCAACCCGAAACTGTTTCAGATGTATAAAGAATAATCCAGTTACATTTCTATGTTAGGTAGTAGTACATATAGATTACGAGGCTACAATTAATTTGTAGATATCATTAACAAGGTTTGACTTGATAATTGCAAATAAATTGAGCACTGGGTCGATTGTTATAAATAAATAATATATTTGTAATATCCCAATGAGTAGAAAAAATAGATTTTCTGACGTTTCGTGACTTAGTGTAGGCCATTTTTTCAGGGGATAAATGATCATATATTTTCCATATAATTATATAAACGAATGTAAAGCTTAAGTAAATGATTTCGTCGAAAGGAAGTTTCTTCACTGAATTCTCTTCTTCTTAATCAATGACACTATGGGTTATTTTATTTATTTATAAATTATTTATTCTCCGAAGAAGTGGCATACACTAAGTCACGAAACGTCAATAAATCTATTTTTTCTACTCTTTGGGATATTACAAATATATTGTTTATTTACTACAAATAATTGTTACTCTAAGAATGTGGAAGTCCATCTACTAGCAGCAGTGAAATTTCATACATTTTGTTTATTTATCAGATGTTTGTCTATGAGTAAAGACATAAATTATTAGCATATTAAAACGTTCTATCGACCGAAGCACTCGACTGAAACAGGTATAACAGACTCGATTAAATAACAATTATTAAGTATATCGGTGATTTTTGTATTACAAACTCTCATACAAACAACACATCACAACAGCACGAATACATATGTATGAAAAATCAATCGAGTTTGTACTTTTAACATGTCCTCACTAATGAGAATATGAACTCTTAACAAAGAGATTAGTACAACATTTGAGTGATACCATTTTGTACATCTAATTATTTGTTGAAATTTTTATAATACAAGAATATAGACTCAGATTATCTACCATGTTAGAAAACCTAACTGTATAACAGAAATATAAGCCAATCTCTTTTAGTTCTGTAACCAAAGATAATACCGACAGACTTTTTAACCATAATCATTACCATCCAAGAATGAGATTTATTATTTCTTTATTTTAACACATAGGTATTGGTACAAGGACGCACCAAGTACATATACACCACACAAATCTCATTTGATTTGTGTGAGGGCTGTGATACTACCCGGGTGCCCAAATCGAAGCAGGTGGTTTTCTTAGGGGGCCACACCCCGACCGTACCAGGGCATTTGGGGGCATCCAAGAGTGAGATCGATGTATTAAAACAATTCGAAAGAAAGAATTAAACAAACGGGACTGAATAAAATATATCAACTTTAACTCAAAAAAGGCTAGTTATAAATTCATTGAAACGAGTACATGCAACTTTGAATAGTTGGAATAAATGAATATAATGAATAGAAAAAAAAACTACTAGCTATGATGAACATCATAAACAAACACTGATGAAGAATAGATATTTTCGGAACTAACATATTTCGATCGTTTGTGTGAGGATAAAACCAGTATGTTCTCAAATACGAATTCAATAATCAATCTGTTTATAACAAATTATTATAACGGTTATCGATAATCAAACAAATAAAATAATAGTCTCGGATTAGAATAGAATAAGAATGGAATAAATAAAAATATTTATGGACTTTTTATTAACTCTAAACATAATTTTTGAATAATAACGACAATTCTATTTGTACTATCGAATTTCATTAACTTCTTTTCATATCTCTAGGATCAAATAATATTGAGAAAAATATAAAACTTGATCATATACACCAAAACAATTTAATAAATGTTTTCATTTGAAAGAGATAAATACTGTATTAAGTTTTGTTGGATTTAGTCAAAAGTTATAAAACATTAAGTATTAAATGCATCAAGCAAGAAAGTACATGTACAAATATAGTGTGTGATTTTACTGGTCGCCTGGAAATATGAAGGGTAATCTTTAACTACATAAAAAATCGGTCAGAAGTTTATTATTTCATAAATAGGCGTAACTTGAATGAATAAATAGATAAACAAATGAATAGATGTCACATGCTCGATATTTTAATTTTTTTATGTGATATAAGATTATGAAAACTCCCTGTTTATATTTCATGTATAGTCTACGATTGATTAAGTTACACATCCATATGGTCTTTATATACTTCTAACGAAACACCAGCCATTGTTTGTATTGTATCAAGAGATTTCCCTAGTTCCTCATCTAAGATCTATAAGTTCATATATTTCACACATCTAATGAAACCGGTATACTATAAAAACGTTTGTCAAAGCAATCACAATATGAAGTAATGGAAGGCTAAATTCGTTTAGAAAAAAAATGGATCTAGAATTCTTATCGAGCATGTCAGTGTAAAATCCATATTTTTTGTATTGATATTCTCCAATATGACAAACTTTATGTTGGGACGGATGGCAAAACTATTGTTTTACAATACCTTCGTCGATTTGACTCAATGATGGTTGCCGACTTATATATTATATCCCGCGACCGAATTGTTATTCCAGGATTACCGTGACGAACGATTCTCAGGCAATTTCACAGTGGTCACCCAGGGATCAATAAAACGAAATCACTGGCTCGAAAATATGCTTATTGGCCGCCGGTGAACAGAGAAATCGAAGACAATTGCCACAACTGTTAGTCGTCCCTACAAGCTGTTAAAAACCCTTCGAAATGTGAACCACAGCAGGTAACTAAGCCTGTCAGACCCTGAAAGAGATTACATATGCATTTTGCCGATCTAGTCCAATGGGAAATGTTTCTAGTTATCTTGGATGTATTTGCAAATATACTAGGTCGAACTGCACAGCCGAAGAAACAATCAACAAGTTGCCTACTTGGATTAGCTGTTTCAGAGTGCCAGAAACCTTAGTAATAGACAATTACACTCGATTTGCTTCTAACCTGTTCAAATAATCCCGTGATGTGAATGGGATAATTCATTTATACCCGCCACCCTATCATCTTCAGTCTAATGGATAAGATGACAGCTTCGTGAACACCCTCGAGAGAGTGCTGTTTAAAGGGGGAGAAGACAGAACGCCAAGTCTTCAACATCTTACAGAATAACCCCCAACCCTGAAGTGCCAGATGGGAAGTCAACAACCGAAGTCATGTTTGAGAGAAGCACCTGAACGATTTCCAACGCCATGCTGACGTCCAGAAAGGTAGATGTCTACAGAAAATATAGCTATATATTCTCAGTTTGATGTGTGGAGAAGAGTATTTATCAAATCATACCAAATCAGGAATTGATGAGAACCAGTGTTAACTGTACAAACACTGGACAGAGTTTTGTATAAGGTCCGGGTCGGAACATGCATACGAACGAAATCCATAAAGGTAAAAGAACGATGCACAACAGAGATGGTCAAGTGAATCTACCAAGAATATCCTAAAGAACAAAAGAATGAAGGTTTGGGCAAGGAAGACAATAAAAAAAATGTAACGTTGCCTAAAACCACACATCAAGTTACGAGTGGATCCCGGAAGAAAATCTTATTCTAGGAAGCTGTTGTTGAGATGGCTCCCAAAGATCACAACGAAGCCTTCAGAGGCTCTGAAGGAGCCGAATAGAACTCATCCAATCAGAACATGATAGAACCTAAAGGTATCGACGTGACATGTTGTAGTTGCATAATTATATAACTTTCCTACTTGGAATATAATAATGTTATAGCTTATACTAAAAACTATAAATACCCGTTTTTCTGTACATGTTTGACTCTTACCCAATAATCGCTTCCTCTGCTTCTTCCGTCTTTTGGTTTGCGACTGTGGAGTTACACACAATCGATTACTTATTGCTACATGCCGTATTCTCCGTATTCAAGTACAGGATGTAACACTTTATCGAGAGTTGATTAAATAAACGGAGTATTTGCCAGTACACAATCGAGTTATAACAATCAAGGATAGTACAATTAAGACATATTTCCACTTGTCAAACTATATTCCAGCCAATGAGCAAGTAAGAAAGTTATACAACTGTCCAACTATAGCATGTCATGTCGATATTTCAGAGGATTCTATCCGGATGGGATTTCTTCGGTTCCTTCAGAGCCTCTGGAGGCTATGTTGTAACCGTCCTAATAAATTTATTATAGTGTGGAAATGTTCCCTATCGCACTTACGAGTTGATAATCAACAGAATTATACGTTAATAACATTTCAACTATTGTTCATTCATCCACTAAGTAAAAGAAGAAACACTGATTTTAATGTGTTCACAAAAGAAAACATTACGATATAGCTTGTACATATGTCGTCGATCTTGCGAACCAGAACAAAATAACATCAAAAGAAAAGGCAATCAACCAAACAAACGATTCTTCCAGAGAATATGCGTTCTTAACAAGAAGTCAACGTTTGAAAACCAGGATTGTTAGAAAATATAAGGAATTTGGAGTGTTCCTAACCGAATATTACAAGTTAATTGAAGTAAGGACTTCATACATGTGAAATTACTGTCTACCCTGACGCATACCTTTATCACATCAAAGAAACGGTTAAGATTGGAAATTAACAACTTCATTAGGCAACAGAAATATCAATCAATATTACTGAAGACCAATCATAATTAGAAGTTCATTAGTAATGAACTTTTTTTATGTCTATCACCAACTACTTTGAATATGTCCTATATTATCTAAGATATTTCAATCTAAGTATTGTTCGGGGAGTAAACACGACCAAAAAATAAACCAATTCAACTGAGCAATATTTATATGTGTCCAGTAGGTTTTGTTTAAACATAGACATAAACTAATGATCTCGAAACAATAGCCAATCACTCAGTTGAAAGATGTTTCTTTGTACGAACTTCTTTAAAAATGCTAACAAACGTAAATCTGAACGATAACTCAATTTACAGATAATGAAATTCTCTTTTAAGTAATTTCGATGTGTGTTATGTAATGTATGGTACTCCAAACTGGATCCATATTAGTAATATATATATATATATATATATAGTAGTAGTAATAGTAAAATATTGCGATGACCTTTTTATTCTCCATTAAAAAACAACAAACATTTATATGTAAAATGTATAAACATGACTAAGTTCAGCAGTCAAACTATATTTAATTTTAAAATCATAATATAATTGCACATCATTTTAAATGGCTAGCACAGTACAATAAAATAGTTAATCCTAAGCCAACAGAAAACAAACATTTAATTTAACGTAAACAAGTACGAATCAAACATGAAAGTCAGGGTTTTTTTCTATAAAAAGGAATGATTAACTAATAAATGACCTGTAAACCATTATTCTACAATCAATCATATTTTGAATGATTTATGATCATGTCAATTTTTTCGTGCTGTCTAGCTAGAAATAACTAGTTTTCAAGCTACATGTCGTGTATTCACTTGGTGTTGTTTACTTGTATCTTCCCATTGTTATTTAGGACTGTAATTAATCAGTCTCTTGTTGGTATATGTGTATCCTGTGCCTCGATAATGCTTTAGATCACAAGCATTGTTAGCAAAGATGGATAGTATCTAGCAGTGGAATCCAGGACGCGTGTTTTGCCTTATTTGTTGTGTGTTTAAATATGTGTTCGGTTGGAAAGACTAGATTGAACAATCAACTTTAGTAATTATTACTCAAACATAACTAATAGGAGACAGATGCTATAACCTATGAGGGAAATATAAGCACCAAAAAATAACTCAAAGTTATCAAACATCACTAAAAATAACCGTAAAGTATTATCATTTGTATAAATCGGTATTTGTTAAGTTGTGATGCATTCAGAAACAAATATATGTACCAAATACTTAGTAGAATCAAATAAATATGGACATATGTTTTCAGAATAGATCATATAATTGCATTATTCCGGAGTAGTTCAGTCTAAACAAACAGTCGATTAAACATCTGTTAAATTGAGTTAACAGTAGTATAACTAGATACCTCGTCGTCTTACTGATTATCAAATGTACATTAGCTGACATTGACAACGGCTACGATAGTTAACATTTCTCTACAACTTTCAACAACCTTCGGTTTAAAATAAGCTTAAAATAACACTGTTTGACTCTACGGGAAAATTTTTCGAGTATGAATTAGAGCGAGTGACTTTTTTTAAAGTATAATTCAAATCGGCTTAGAATTCGATTAATCAACAATTAGCTTCATTTGTTTTATGAATTACAACAGTAAAAAGTCACTAAACAGTTCAACCCTATTTTAAATTTCCAAAAAGGGGTAGGAAGATGGTTGATATTACTCAATAAATTAGCTGTTACATTATGATACTACGGGATTACTATACCTGTTGCGAGTTTGTGTTACTGATTGAAATATGTATAAACACTCATAGTAATGACTAAGTGTATAACGTAATCAATGTAATCATCGAAGCGTTTTACAAATTATATCAATATGTATGTGTAACCTTATTAAACTAACTCAGTTCAAAGATATCTGATACAAATGTATAAAATTCCTTTGGATAACTATCAAATATCCACAGTTGTTTGATTAAAAAAATGGATAACAAGACAAAATACAAGAAATACTTGTAACAACCGGAATACAATTGACATGAGACACAACAATTTTAATTGAGAGTAAACACTTCTTTTTACCATTTCCTCCAATTATTTGTAAATCTGGGAATACAGATTTTACGCGCCTTATCATATCTAGTTGATAGATGCTATTACCTTGAGAAGAATCCTAAAAAAACAAAAGTATACAATATTGAATAACAAAAAATAACGTATATCGACTGATATAATTTTTGAATACAAGACAAAAAAAGGTTTGTGCATGAATGAAATGAAGATGCTCGTAGGATATACTTTCAGTAATGATACAATCCTCATTGAACATTTAATTGCAGATTAATAATTGAGGAATAAACTCAAGTAAGCATAGGTCAGGTATTTATTTATAAAAGCTCCATAGTTTAAACATATATACTTTTAACTTGGTTTTAAAATTTCACTATTGTAGAGAGTATATTTGACTTTTTTAACAGAACCTAAAGCAGTTCTTATAACAGTAATACAGTGGTTCGAAATACAAAATTATAAATGAAGAGGATTTTAATCGGTAAAGACATAACCATGATCGAAAATGTATTGTATGATGAGAGACTGAAAGTAATGTAAAGAATGAATGAGATTTGTTATGATGAAACAGCTTTGATTACATAAATCTGATGATAATAAACTAACATATCTCGGTTATTCTATTGAAAGTAAACATAATAATAATAATAATAATTCAAAAATTTGTATTTTTCAAAAATAAACAGATTCTGAAAAATAATGTAGACTGAAAATGATCACATGATCAAAGTTGTTCAAAATCTGATAAACAAAAACAGTTGTCTTATAACAGGGAACAAAGGAGAACAGGTTGAAATAAATTTAGTCATATGTACATTCATGGCAATGAATTAACTCAGAAAATCTGTATTAAAGGAAAAAAAAGTAATGTTAAATGAAAATTAAAGAAAAATAGAAAGTTAAGATGTCTATAGACAGTTTAGATTAACACACACATTTATTTCAAATCGTAAAGAAACATCGAAAAAAAACTTAGACAGATTTTGAAAAACAAAAACAAAACTTAGTATAAAAGTTAAATTATGCCCCAGTGATCGTTTTTAAGTCATTATTGGTAAAAATTGAAAGTATAATCTCATAAAATGAACAACAAAAGCATATCTACGAAATCCAATGTAGTAAGTATAATACAATATGTATGGACGAAATATTTAAACAGCTGTGAATGTGAAACTAAAGGAACGCAAAAATGATCCTCGAAACATGTCCCAAATTATAAGAAGACTCTAAGACACTTAAGAAAAGATCAGTTATAGTTATACATACGACGAAAACATGTGAGTAAATCGACCTTGATGGATTAAAATCCTTTAGAAAGGATTATCCGCGTGACTATCGTAACCAATGGTTGGAGACTAGGGGCTACATGGCTCAGAATCGATCACAATGGTGTCGGTGTATACACTCTTTGTCTTCCCTTAAATCATGAGATTAAGATTGCTTTATATCTTTCTTTCTACGAACTAATTCTTTCTTCCTGTACTATATCTTTATACACAAACTTTCTTTTATATATTACTACTATTGAACTAACTACTTCTATGAATTCGGTGTTCATCTTGTTATGCTAATGAGGTATGACAACTTGGACCGATGCATATATGTGCCTGGTCCTACGTTGTAGCTGATTGATTGACCAAAGCCCAACATATATTCGAGAATCCAAATAATCTGAATAAACGAGATACGCTATAGTGTTGTTGGTTAATAAAAATGATACAAAGCAATTAGTCCCGTTGATAAATTTCGGTAGTGTAATAAGAAGACCAAGATTATCAGAACCATGTGAAATATTAGCGCAATACACTTCGAACAATCTGATCACACATATACTTGTTAGGAACATTTATACGAAAATTTAAACCCCCTCTGTGTATTCAAAAATAGTTTATTCTCACCTTAAACCTACTTTGGTAATATTAGCTTATTATCCAAAGTGATAAGGTTTCAAATTGTTTTCACATTACTTCTTTATTATGCTTCTCTCCTCTTAGCGTCCATTTCTAGTCTAGTTGACCTTTTATTTTTATATATAAATGTTCTTAACAAGTATATGTGTGATCAGATTGTTCGAAACGTACTTACTTACGCCTGTTACTCCCGATGGAGCACAGGCCGCCGACCAGCATTCTCCAACCCACTCTGTCCTGGGCCTTCTTTTCTAGTTCCATCCAATTCTTGTTCATTTTTCTCATATCTATCTCCATTTCTCGGCGTAATGTATTCTTTGGTCTTCCTCTCTTCCTTCGACCTTGGGGATTCCATATAAGGGCTTGTCTTGTGACGCAGTTCGGTGCTTTCCTCAATGTGTGTCCTATCCACTTCCAGCGCTTCTTCCTGATTTCTTCCTCCACTAGTTTCCGGTTTGTTCTCTCTCATGGTAGGTTGTTGCTAATAGTGTCCGGCCAACGGATCTGAAGTATTTTGCGTAGACAACTGTTAATAAACACTTGTATCTTCTGGATGATGGATTTCGTAGTTTTCCAGGTTTCCGCCCCATACAGTAGAACTGTCTTGACATTTGTATTGAAAATTCTGACTTTGGTGTTGGTTGCTAATTGTTTTGAGTTCCAGATATTCTTCAGTTGTAGATATGCTGCTCTTGCTTTGCCAATCCGTGCCTTCACATCTGCATCGGATCCACCGTGCTTATAGATGATACTGCCCAAATATGTAAAGGTTTTTACATCTTCCAAAGCTTCTCCGTCAATTGTGATTGGATTGTTACATGCTGTGTTGTATCGAAGAATCTTGCTTTTCCCTTTGTGTATATTGTGACCTATTGCTGCTGAGGCTGCAGCTACACTGGTTGTCTTCTCCTGCATTTGTTGTTGCGTATGCGATAGAAGAGCCAGATCATCTGCGAAGTCTAGATCATCCAATTGCATCCTAGCTGTCCACTGTATTCCGTGCTTCCCTTCAGATGTTGACGTCTTCATGATTCAGTCGATCACCAGGAGAAAGAGAAAGGGTGAGAGTAAGCAACCTTGCCTGACACCGGTCTTTACTTCGAACGACTTTGTCAACTGTCTTCCATGAACGATTTTGCAGTTTAATCCATCGTAGGAATTCCGTATGATAATGACTATCTTCTGAGGCGCGCCGTAGTGTCGAAGAAGCTTCCATAGGGTTGTTCTGTCCACGCTATCAAATGCTTTTTCGTAGTCAATGAAGTTCATATAGAGTGACGAATTCCATTCAATTGATTGCTCCAAAATGATCCGTAGAGCTGCGATTTGGTCTGTGCACGATCTATCCTTACGGAATCCTGCCTGTTGGTCGCGAAGTTGTGCGTCTACGGAGTCCTTCATCCTGTTTAACAATACCCTGTTGAAGACTTTTCCTGGTATTGAGAGAAGAGTGATTCCCCTATAGTTGTCACAGTTGCTGAGATCGCCTTTCTTTGGTATTTTGACTAGAAGTCCTTCTTTCCAGTCTTTTGGTACCTGTTCCTCATCCCAAATCTTTCTGAAGAGAATGTGGAGTATCCTTGCAGTTACCGCCGCGTCTGCTTTCAGTGCCTCTGTTGGAATGTTGTCTGGTCCTGCTGCTTTGCCACTCTTGATTTGTCTGATAGCCATGCTGATCTCTTCAATTGTTGGTGGGCCAACATCGATTGGGAGGTCCGTGAGTGCTACTTCGATGTTGAGTGGGTTCAGTGGGGCTGGTCGATTCAAGAGTTTTTTGAAGTGTTCTACCCACCTGTTTCGTTGTTCTTCAATGTTGGTGATTATCTTGCCTTCTTTGTTTTTCACCGGTCGTTCTGGTTTACGGTGATTTCCAGAGAGTTTCTTTGTTGTGTCATACAGTTGTCTCATGTTTCCTTCTCTGGCAGCCTTTTCCGCTGTCATTGCTAAATCTTCCACACATTTACGTTTGTCAGTTCTGATGCGCCTCTTCACTTGCTTGTTTACTTCTGTGTATACAGCCTGTTCCTTGGCTTTTTCTGCTCTTGTTCGACTGGTATTGATTGCTGTCTTCTTGTTACTCCTTTCTTGAATCTTATCCAGTGTATCAACAGTGACCCATTCCTTGTGATGGTGCTTCTTTTGGCCCGGAACCTCATGACATGTTGAAGTGATTGTCACTTTTGTCCCCTTCCAGTTGCTCTCCATAGTAGTTCCTTCTCCACTGAGTAGATCATGAAAGGCCTGGAACTTATTGCTGAGGGTTAACTTGAATTTGTTGTTTGTCATTATCCCGAAGAAGAGCCGTATTAAACTTTTGTTATATTGTCCTCCCCGTTGTCCAGCGCCTCTTGAGTTTCAATTTCATCTTGGCGACCAGCAAGTGATGATCTGATGCTATATCGACTCCTCTCTTGGTTCTCACGTCCTCCTGAACTTTTTGTTGATGCAGATATGGTCGATTTGGTTCTGTGTGGTGTGATTCGGTTAAGTCCATGTGGTTTTGTGTATGCGTTTATGTGGGAATATAGTCCCGCCTATGACCAGTTTATTGAAGGCACATAGGTTTGCAAATCTCTCACCATTTTCGTTCCCTCTCTTCCAGTCCGGTGTTGTCAATTCCAACCTTGGCATTTAGGTCTCCCATTAGAATAGTCAGGTCCTTTGTTGGGAAATTCTCGACGATTGTCTGCAGCCTATCGTAGAATTGATCTTTAGCATCTTCATTGTATTCGTTGGTAGGCGCATAGCATTGGTTGACGTTCATTGTAATGCCCTCTTTCTTTGTTTTGAAGGAGGCTTTGATGATCGTTGGTCCATGAGATTCCAATCCTATAAGTGCATTTTGTGCTTGTTTTAATAGCATCAATGCAACTCCTTGTGTATGTGGGGCATTTTCTTTTTCATGTCCGGAGTATAACAGCAGCTCCCCTGAAGCTAGTCGTTGTTGTCCAACTTGCGTCCAATGTGTTTCACTGATCCCAAGCACCTCTAAATTGTATCTCCTCATTTCTGCAGCAATTTGGAAAACTCTCCCAATCTCCCCCATTGTACGAGCATTCCATGTACCTAAACAAATGGTTGCTCTGGTTGTCAGAAGGGGCATCGGCCTCGTGACTTCCGAAGAAACTCGGCTTTCATCATGAGGCGTCATAATTCTTCTAAACGAAGACCTCCTGACTCCCAGGGCAGAGTTTAAATGGTTTGAATAATTTTTTTAGCGAGTTAGTTTTCTACGGGATGCGGTCGCTAACCCCATGCCCAACCCTTCTCTTTTATACGGGCTTGGGACCGGCAGTAGCCCCCCGAAAGGGACTCCAGGCGGAGTTTGTTCAAAACGTATTGCGCTAATATATCACATAGTTTTAATGATCGTCGTCTTCTTATTATGCTATCGAAAAATAATAAATTTTATTTGTGGTTGTTTTTGTAGCATCAGTAACATGGACATTCGCAATAATATACTTCCAATTGTATGATTAACTGCTTTCGTATTGATTAACATATATGATTTGATAATCTCCAATGTACTTTTAGTTCTACGATAAACAAAGCCATGATTATGACCCTATTCACCTTATTTGTTTAGTGGATTTTAATAACAATACCGTGCACACATTCATCAAATAGTGCATTTTGATCAGAGTTCATTTTACATGACCCACATTCATGCTGCATATAAAATCAACATTTGAACATAATTAGACAAGTGTTAAGTATATGATTGATCATTTTGATGATATACCTGAAGCTCGGACCAGATTTCAGAGTGAAATATTGGAACTAATTAGATTTGAATTGCTGAAATTATGACCTAAAATACAATTTTACATGTCCTAAAAATAGATTTCCACTAATAACACCAGTCCTTACTTTATAACCATACAGTAATAAAATTATGTTTTTACTTTTAGTGACTCGAATGTCGAATAAACAGTAATTGGATACATATAACATGTATTCGAGTTATTTTAATTAATTAGCGTTCACAATTTTACTAACTGATTTATCTGCTCTATGGAAAGTCTGGCGTACTTAATTGAACAGGTAAATGAGTAAGTAATTTTAACCAATACAGTCTTTTTAATTAAAGATGGATGGTGGCTAGAAGTGTAATACAGGATGCATGTTTCCTCCTATTTCGGACTCGTCAGCTGGAAGTAACTGCATCACAGAGTTGAAGTTCATTTAGGAACTTGCACCCAGAACTGTTTGCTTTAAACGCCATCGCGTTATCTACTTAGCTACTGAGTGTCCTGATAGCCACTAACTTGCGCAATGGGGTGAGGTTTTAATTGATTTTTGTAGTTTGTCTGAATCTTCCCATTAATGTTTAATACTGCAATTGACCAATCCACTACTAGCCACCATCCATCTCTTATTATAACGCTTGTGACTTGAGGCAATCAGCACATGATGCACATATGCCAATAAGAAACAGATCAATTGCCAAATACTTGGCGAACGAGCTACATTTAGTTTAATTTTAACAACAAATGTTTATCAAAATTAAAAACAGTAACTGTTTAAGTGCAAAGGAATAAATTGTATTTACTATGCTTTCAAAAGTAAATTAAATGTAAACTCGTGAAAAATCAATTTTATCCAAATATTCATGGTGGTCAAGTAGTACTACACCAGCTCCTTTGTCAGGTTTACTTAGGATTAAATCCTTATTTCTTTTCAGGAGCATTAGCTGATCCAAGTGGTTCTTAGTTAATAGGTAGTAAGAATAACCTACTAACTAAAAAATCAATTTATCGAGACAATATATAGTCAGTGTATGATAATTTCTTTAATACGTTTCGATTACTATTAATTTCAGGTGATAAGAATTTTATACTTTCCAGTTAGAAAACAGCAAATATTCTATAAGTAACTTGAAAAAAGAAAACAACCATTCATGTTCGGCCACAAAATAAACTAATCGATCAGTGACTTAGAAGAAAAGTTTGATGCAGTTTACCATGGAGACCAAACAAAAATGTACTTTTTACATAAAATTATGCAACATAATGAAATTCACAAGAGTATAATTCTTTTGTCCTTTGATACTCGAACAAGGATATAGATTATACACAAATACATACGTACGCGGTAGGATGATGAATATATTCCGACAAGTTTAAATAGTCACGTTATAATGCATAGAAATGATAGACTGAATGATAATGAATTACTTTTTCACTACAGTTATCAGTTAACAATATCCACACATTTATAAATCCTATAATTTCTTAGTGTCTTAAGATAAAAGCAGACTAAATCCAATTCATAAAATCACATCATATTGACCTATTGTTTTCATTTATTATTTATTTATTTAAACACATAAATATTGGTACATGGGGGCACTGAATAGATATGCGCTGCATAAATCATTCGATTTGTGTGAGGGCTAGGATACTGTCCGGGTGCCCAAACCGAAGCAGGTGGTTTTCTTAGGGGCCCACGCCCCGAGCCTTTGACCTAAAGGTCTAATCCACAATGCAGTGGAGAAACGTCAGGAGATGCAGTCCCATGGTAACCGACGATCAACGATTGATTCATGCGCCATTTGTTCCTTCATGATACTGGAACCCATGAGCACCATTGTTTTGGAATCAGAGTTCTCCAACTCCTCTAGGTGAACCCTCCATGTCCACCAACCTAGTTAAAGCATCGGACATTCGCTTTTCGCCCTCTCAACTTTGTAAGAAACGCCGGTACCGCGAGAAGGCAGTGAGTAAGATTTTCCTGGCAGTGGTTGTATGCACGTGGCAGACTCTCCCCACTCTCGGCCGCACCGGGGCATTTGCGGGCTATTGATTACAAGTATATGTTAGTATAATAAAATGGACATCTTCTGTTTGAATATTATGAAGAAGATGATCTATGAACTAATGACAGTTTTGACAAATAAAAAAAAATTATTAATTGTTAAATCTATTGAAGTTTTTAAACTGTACCCAAATTGTTGCTTTGATGCAATGACAATATTTATTAAAGAATTATAAGCACAGAAGAGAAGCTTTTCTGGACGAATGCGGACAAAACCAAGTGAAGGACTTGATTCATTTCATTAATCCCGAACATTACTGTATAACAGTACCATAAAGTATCAGATGATAACGCTGCTGAAACTAGTATGAGGTGACTTTGTATCTTTAGTACACGTAAAGTAGTGGTTAAGTATGTGTGTGCATGTTTAACCATTTGACTTCAAACACTGAGTTCCAGGTTTAAACTTCACTCAGTTATTTTTATTTATCAAATTCATTTAAATTTAAGTTTACGCAGAATTAAAAACACCAAAATTGTTGTAAAACGATAAAAAAAAGTATGCCGAAATAACCAAAAATACAGAATACTCACTATAACAATAATATCGACACCAGCGTTAACCAAAGCTTTGACACGATCAAAATCACTTTCTTGTGTAGAAATAGCTGCACCAACAATTAATTGGTTTCTAAGGAAAAACAAGGAAATTTTATGAGTAAACAAATCTATTATTTACTATGCATAACTACTATTAAGTTTTAACAAACCTGAAATATAATCAGACCGTGAAACATATCTGTGATGATAGTTCAGATATTTCTTTCATTTGTTAAGTATCTGGTATTTCATATGGCTTATATATTTTATAATAAATAACGCTTGTACATTTAAATGATTACATTTACTAAATGGGCCTCCTTATAATAAACTATTCATATTATTCCATCAATTTTCTATTAGTTAAACATAATAGTTAAAAAAAAACAAGACATAGCTTGGTTTATTATTTATTTATTTGAACACATAAATATTGGTATAGGGGGGGCACCAAATATATATGCGCCACACAAAACAATGAGAATTTAAAGACAAGGGAAAAAAGGTAAGGAACGTAGGGAATTATGAAAAAAAGAACAATAATGGGGGAAACGAAAAGGTTCAACCAGAAGAAATCTTTCAGTTAAGGAAGATACAACCACTTTTTATGAAGAAAGGGAAGGTTACAGCAGATCGCCACTAGCTTTTATTCTGAGCCATATGTGATAACGTCTCTAGCCACTGTGTCGCACCATCTCTCGAACCCCAGCCAAGAAGTCGTGAAGGACCAACACAAGCCAGCCCTTTGAAACTTTCTTTCATACCACGACACCATGTCAAACACTGACCACCTCTCCGCTTTTTCCAACCAGTCCCAGCGTCGGCAAATGATACACGACGTGGAATTCTGTGGGACGACATTCGTAGAACATGTCCAAACCACCAAAGTCGGTGTTTCAAGATGGTGACACCAATCGCATTATCGTCTCTGTGCTCAAACACACGATGCCGAACCTCTGCATTACTAACATGGTGCTGCCGCTCGACGTCAGCAATCCTTCGGAGACAACGATGATCAAATACAGAGAGTCGTCTAACATCCTCAGTTCGGAGAGGCCTGGTTTCACAAGCATAGAGCAGAACTGCTCTCACTGACGCGTTGTAGATCCGACCTTTTACGGCCAGACCAACATCACGAAGGCGCCAAAGATGGCCCAGATTGGCATAAGCCACTTTGGCTTTCACTATACGTGCATTGATCTCATCACTCACGCCACCACCAGCACTTATATAGCTACCTAGATACATGAACCCTTTTTAAAGATAGGGACAACTATCGACTCATTCCATGACGTTGGTACACTCTCTAGTTCCCAGACCTTTGTAAACAACGTCGTCAGTCCCTTAGTCAGAAAGTCACCACCATCTTTAAAAAGAGCCAGAGGTAAGTCGTCTGGGCCCTGGTGATTTGTAACGTTTCAAGAGTTGGAGTTCCTTGCGGACTTCCGCCTCATTTGGTGGATCAGTCGTCACCGGCCATGGAGGGCAGGACAGCCTGACCGATGCTGTCGGAGCAGCAGGCCAGTTGAACTGCCCTTCAAAGAATTCTGCCCATCGTCCAAGACGTCGATGGATGTTAGTGATTGGCGTTCCGTCATCGTCGCAGATCGTTTCGCTCACACCAGACTTCTTGCTGCCAGTGGCTCGGATGAGTTGGAAGAGCTTCCGGTAATTACCAGATGCAGCTGCTGCTTCCAACTCACTGGCACGCTCCGACCACCAGGCTTCTCGGTCCTTACGCAATCTTTGCCCGATTTCATTACGTAACATCCTTCGTCTGTGGTCAAACTTACGGTCACCCGGAGTAGACCGACGGGCTTCAATGAGTTGTAAGGAACCAGCATAGTTTGGTTTAAAATTGACATTTGCAGACACCAAAAGTGGCCAAAATAATAGCGTCTGAAGTTTACAGGATCTACATAATAAGTACCATATGACTAGTGTTTTAACATTTTCTTGCCACTCTCCTGGTTTAAATGCCCATTTATATATCCAGTAAAATAATATTTTAGGATGAAATAGTGGTTTGATGGATTAACTATTTAGTTTAAGAAATATGTTCTTAACATTAACGATGAAATCATATTTGTAAGAATTTTAGTTACTAAAACGAAATAGTTCCATAGTTCTAGCTCGGAAGTCCCTTTCAGGCTACATGGGATTAACCAAAATGAGAAAAAACGGAAGCGAAGAAGGCAACCAAAAATCCTTTTTGCAATCATGTTTAACTTTTGAATTTAGTAAATGATGTGATTATAAATCAGTTTCTATGAAACATATTCAAACCATCATATGAAATTTAAATACAAGTGACAAAGCTTCTGTTTCTGTCTGATTTAATTTCACTATCGGTAGGTTATAGATAAAAGTAGCAAGGGTTTAGTTGAATCATATCCCCAACAAACATGCCAACAGGATCGACAGAAGGACTTCAGTGAATCAAACGAGGAAAGAATCACAAAAGTACTCATGGATCACCTGAAGATGATCGATAATTTCACTAACAATAACCTACGACGTTGTGGGTCTCGTTTGCCTAACATGTATGGTTTACCGAAAATACATAAACAAGGTATTCCTCTCAGACCTGTTCTGTCAATAGTCGATTCACCCTACCACAAAGTTGCACGATGGTTGGCGGGTAAATTAGGACCAGTTAGTTTAGATGGTGATTGGAGGTAGTCGACGGGAAACCCTGGACCCGAGTTTCGTGCCACTTCGCACTCGTCAGAAATGTGTGCTTGTACTCTTGAGGGAACTGGTGCCCCCTGACGGATTCGATCCCGTGTCACCCAGCTTAACAGTCAGAGACATTACCACTGAGCTATCCGGGCCGCGGCTGACCTCCTGTAGGACTGAAATGTAATCAAAAACGACTGATCACTGGGTGAGTCACCTAGACTGGTGGTCACATTGCAACATGGTCGATAGCATTCGATCTGCACTAATAAGGACTTGACACACATAACATTGATTACCACCCAGTGATCAATCAATTGTGATTAGAACCAGTTAGTCAACGATTAGTCACATATACAATAAAGGATTCATTTGGATTTGCTGACTGCATGAACCACATAAATATTGCCGGTAAGTTTATGGTTTCGTCTAATGTGACATCACTGTTTACAAAAATACCACTTCTTGAAACCATAGACGTAATTTACCACCATTCTGATATCCTACATCTACCAGCATCATAATTCAAACAACTGTTAATCATGTGTACAAAAGATGTTGTGCAAAAGATTATTTGCAATTAAGAGTGGGTGAACACATACCAAAATGATTGCAGAAACAGATAGATTCCAATGGTCAAATAAGATCACAGGATAGACAGACATCATCCTCCATTGCGAAACATTTAACTGAGACTGGTTGACATCAAGTTACTATTTGTAGTGTTATACAAAAGCCTTCAAGGACGTATACTAAGGTTTGTTGAAGCCTTGGCTATACGGAAATTGAAACCCCTTTTATGTGTTCAAAAACAATTTGTCCTTACACTTAACCTACCCTGGTAGTACTGATTTATTATCCAGAGTGGTAATTACATTGTCTTTGTGTACTTTATTACGGCTTACCTTTAAACTATCTAGTTGACCTTTGAATTTTCATATAAAAATGTTTTAACAAGTATGTATGTGATCAGATTGTTAGAAATGTATTGCACAAATATATCATATAATTCTGATAAAACGTCTTCTCATTGAATTATCGAAGAGACTATAGCAAATAAAAAACCTATTTTTATCCAACCTAAATTCAAAGGTGATGTCACAGGGTCAGTCAATATAACACTAAAAACGGCATTGATAAGAACTTATCCTGCAGCTAAACTAATTGCCTGTTCAAAACAACATGTACTTTAGCACAATTAAAGATCGATAGATATCCCTTTCATGTTACCACCAACTGTGTATACAAATTTACATGTATCTGCCAAAGCAGTTATATCGGCAGAACAGAAAGATGAGCCTACGTCCGATTCGAAGAACATACTCTGAATGGTCTAAGGTCAAATGGATTAAAAGCATTCAGCAGTGCCATCTCAAGACACCTTGATACAGAACATCAAGTTGATACACTGACGTCTTTTAAGGTGATTGATAAACAATCAAACTCCAATCTTCTGAAATTTGCCGAAGCGACAGTGATCAAACGTCTAAAACCAGATCTATGTATCCAAAAAGAAGCGGTAATAAATCTTTCTTTGCCCTGGTAACATAACATCCTGTTTTTATTTATTGAGTCATTCATTATTTCAACTTTCTGAAGTTTGATTACATCATTGTCGTTTTTCTTCAATTCATAACTTTCTTTATTACCATTAATCTGTTTTCAGTTGCTCCATTGAACTAAGCAGTAAAGATTTGTTGAAAACTTAAGAATTACAAGATGAAACCTATTATATTAAACTTGGGATTGGAATGCAACGGTTTATTTTATAATAAACAACTCATGACGTTCATAACATTCAAAAGACGCTCAATAACATTCACCTACGATTAACTTTTAATATTTCCTTTTGATCTCAAAGTATAAATATGTATACAAAGGTTAGGTAGAAAAACTCACTCGGAATCTTTAGATGCTAGTGGATGATCTTGGTTCTTCTTTAAGTCAGTCCGTGCAATTAATGCCACCAATTCACGATTTTCGTTAATAATTGGTAATTTACCTGTGTGTGACAAAAAGAAGTGAATTCGGAGTTATTTATCAAATTTTCCTTCAACTTCATAATAAGCACCAATGAAAATACATGACATGAACAGTGAATTATTTTGTTATTTTAAATAATATTTGTGATTGACATATACATTTAAAGAAGATAGATATCGAGAATATGTTTATTTTCTGGAGAACAAACTAAATATTAATATTTTGTTGGAAACAGAACAAAAATATAAATTGAATCAATGACAAACTACATATACCTATTTATTTAAACCTTTCTTTAAATTTATTGACTTTTCTTGTTAACCACTTATTTTTCTAAATAGATAAGAAGTTCCGTGCTCCAAAATGTCTACAAATTAAATTACAGACTTGTTTCCAGGTTGTTTGAACTTTAATGAGAAAATGATGTCTTCAAATGATTTTGCATGCTTTTCAACCTAGTCTTTACAATGTCTTAATATAACTAATACTAATCCATTTATAAAGATGAAAACAGAAGACACAAAGATCAGAAAAGTAACTCGACTGACAAACCGAATTGATAAACATAAATTAATAATAAGATTAATATTGAATACTGAGAATATCAAAGCAATTTTCACTTATAGTTTGTATTCTTCAAATAACCGGTAGAAATTCAGATATAGTATAATTACAAAATATGTAGGATCTATTAGGTTTATACGAATATAAAAATTTCCATATAATTAACAAATATACTGTTCGAAAATACCAATCAATGGATAAAGTAGGATGAGATCAATTATACCAACTAATATCTATGAATAGCTAGAGGTCAGTAACTCAAATATGGGACATTTTTCACCAAATGATGATATGATGAAACATGCTCTTATCAAAATGCAGTTAGTTCAAGTACTCACAAATGAAAACAAGGGTCGTTAAAGCAACTAACTTACGGACTTTTCAGGATACATATTATTTAGAGTGCTCTTATCCAGCCTACTAATCAATTAACAATGTCCTTCCAGAATTAATCCTATATAATTATTACATAAACAGTAAATAGCATTGGTCACTAAATAATAATTTCATCACAAAACATTGAATAAACTCTAATGAGAAAAACAAATAAACTATCTAAAGGTTACTAATAGAATATTTGAAAATCATTTATTTCACCGATACCTTTCTTGCTCCTTCGCAGAAGATCGTTTGCTTCAGACAATGTCACACCGGAGAACGCTGTAACAAGATCATCAAATGGTGTCATTACCTGAAAAAGAGAATGATTAGTTTGACAAAAGAACTTGTGGTTATTATAAGCTAAAACCGTTGCAATCTCTCTCTCTGTACATAAGGTGGCCGGGTGGACATCCTAGGGAAGATATTTGGTACAGTAAAAATGTAGTTTTAAAAAAACTGGCATAGAGGTTTACGTGTTAAATGTACACAAGCTTAGAGAAAAAAATCAGTAGAAATCATAGAAATAAGAGTACTTCAAGTGGGCGTTGTAGCTAAGAGAGTAGGACAGCAAAATAAAAACTATTGTGTTCGCGATAGAGTGATAGTTGTTTCTTTCTGAAGGCTTATGCTAGGCCACAGTAGTCAAATAACGACTACTCTAGGAAATCCAAGGTCTGAGTACACCTGCTGGATAACTAGTGTGTGGGAAAGCATCGTGCCTACCATTAGTTAAGTAGTTTATTTTTCTACGCCTAATATCTTAGATATCCATTTAGTCACCTCATCGAATACTTGGAATGGCCTTAAGACAGTGTTTATCGGAAACAAACAGGTTCATATTCTCAAATGATAACTGGTTCTTCGCAAAGAAAGATTTCAATTAGCACATGTACACCAAATTACCATACATAACTACTGCTAACAACGAAGACTTGTCTAATCACCAATATTACTGATGATTCTGGCGGATACAATCTCAGCTAACATTGAACGACAGTATAGTTTGTAACACCAAATATTTAAATGTTAGTCCAGTATCTAGTTACATTTAACGAATGTCTCCTAGAGATGACTCGTAAATTACAAAAATGTCATTGATTTAAAGGACAAATCGCAGTTTAAAAAGTAATCAACGTAAAATTAGACGGACTTTTTCAACAGGTGTGTTGAAGTCATTCGGGTCCAAGAAATCCACATCACGAAGAGTGACTAAACCGACCAAGCGACTCCCCATATTACCATCTTCAGTCACAGGGATCCCACCGAATCCGTATTTTTTCTTTATTTCAATGATATCATAAACGGATTGCCTTGGTGAAACAACAACTGGAGACAAGATGAAACCTTGGTTATATTTCTGAAATAACAGTAAGATGAAAAAAATGATTATATATTTACACGAAACTCTCAGCACAAAGACTACACGTGCGAACCTCCAGAATGTAACACCTAGAGTAACTGTGGAGTGAAAATGCTTGTTGCGTGGTACTAAGTTCAACAGGAATTGAAATGACACTTACAAAAGTATACGATACACCACTTTTACTAAACGACATTGCAAATTTAATCGGTAGTGTAAAGTTCAGTTGGACTAAAACATCGGTGCTAGAAATTATGACATGCTGTGATGTGAACCTAAAAAAAATTAAAAACCTCTATTCTCACCGTATTTATGCATCAAGAACTTATGAGGTTATTATGAATTTGATTACATGTTTACGGACAGAAATGCCAAAACCCAAAGTTTACTGTATTTCCTATAATTTAAAATGTTGACGGGAATTTCAGCGCAGAATCTACTTGAAAGTAGACATTCACCGAGAGAATATGGCGAAAAGATGTTTACATTAAGGCTGAAATCTAAGGTGTACTAAATAAAGTGTCAACAGCATTCAATGTATATTTATCAGCTCAGTTTATCTTCTGAAAAAACTATACTACGCGTTAACGAGCGCACAAAGAAAAGAATGAATGACTATTTTCCTTAGTGAGAGAATGCCCAAGCCACGCAATCCGCACTTAATCAGTTGGCAATCAATGTCCGTAGGTATGGTATGTGCTTTGCACCTTCGAAAAGCAAAGTGCTTCTACAAGACTGGCAGGATTCTAATCCTGCACTCACTCTGGATGATGAGCAAATAGAAGTAATCGAGAAGTTCGTGTATCTGGGTAGCTGCATAAGTGCTGGTGGTGGCGTGAGTGATGAGATCAATGCACGTATAGTGAAAGCCAAAGTGGCTTATGCCAATCTGGGCCATCTTTGGCGCCTTCGTGATGTTGGTCTGGCCGTAAAAGGTCGGATCTACAACGCGTCAGTGAGAGCAGTTCTGCTCTATGCTTGTGAAACCAGGCCTCTCCGAGCTGAGGATGTTAGACGACTCTCTGTACTTGATCATTGTTGTCTCCGAAGGATTGCTGACGTCGAGCGGCAGCACCATGTTAGTAATGCAGAGGTTCGGCATCGTGTGTTTGAGCACAGAGACGATAATGCGATTGGTGTCACCATCTTGAAACACCGACTTTGGTGGTTTGGACATGTTCTACGAATGTCGTCCCACAGAATTCCACGTCGTGTATCATTTGCCGACGCTGGGACTGGTTGGAAAAAGCGGAGAGGTGGTCAGTGTTTGACATGGTGTCGTGGTATGAAAGAAAGTTTCAAAGGGCTGGCTTGTGTTGGTCCTTCACGACTTCTTGGCTGGGGTTCGAGAGATGGTGCGACACAGTATTTAATATTTATTTATTTTAACACATAAGTATAGGTACAGGGAGGCACCAAATACATATGCGCCACACAAATCTCAATTGATTTGTGTGAGGGCTGTCATACTGCCCGGGTGCCCAAGCCGAAGCAGGTGGTTTTATTAGGGGGCCACACCCCGAGCCTTCGACCTGAACGTCTGATCCACAACGCAGTGGAGCATCGTAAGGAGATGCAGTCCCACGGTAGCCGGTGACCAACGATTGGTTCATACGCCATTTGTCCCCTCAGGATACTGGAGCCCATGTGCACCATTGGTTTGGGATCCGGTTAAAGCGCCAGACATTCGCTTTTCGTCCTCTCATTTTTGTAAACAACACCCCCGCCACGAGAAGGCAGTGAGTAGGACTTCCCTGGCAGAGGCTATATACGCATGGCCATGTGAGAGCATTTCGAGAGGGAGAGTGGACTCTCCCCACTCTCGGCCGTACCAGGGCATTTGGGGGCGGTGCGACACAGTGGCTAGAGACGTTATCACATATGACTCAGAATAAAAGCCAGTGGCGATCTGCTGTAACCTTCCCTTTCTTCATAAAAAGTGGTTGTATCTTCCTTAACTGAAAGATTTCTTCTGGTTGAACCTTTCCATTTCCTCCATTATTATTATTACACTACCTTACACTAATCTGTTCGTTATTGTTCTTTTTTTTCCTTTTACGCTCCTTACTTTCTTTTTTTTCTTCCTGTTCTCATTGTTTTGTGTGGCACATAAATATTTGGTGCCCTCTTGTACTAATATTTATGTGTTCAAATAAAAACAAAAAAATAAAACCTGGTATTGGTATTATGTTCCGATGTGAAATCTGTAAGTTACCGTTTAGTTAAGATGACGATCTAACTGAGAAATAATATTCTAATTATCAGCATTTATCTTTCCGTTTGAATAAGAAAATTTGACAAAGATAAACCAGTTTATCAGTCAGTTTAAAATTGTAATATTAACATGAAGATGAAGTGGTCACTTGTTAGCATTTACAAAATGTCGATGTGGAACACTGAAAGACTTTTAAATAAGTTTTCTATACATTAACGTGATACATAAAATAGCATGCTGAATAATTTAACTTATGAATGCATAACATACCACCATCTTTAGTAAAAAAGAACGTAGAATATGATACAGTATATAATGATAAAGCACGAAGTAAAAGTGATAAAAAACAGATAACTTGTTTTGTGCAACACGCGAGACAAACTGATCGAACTGTGTATTGATCCAATAACAACTAATGAAGCTATTCTAAATAATTTCATATCCAATCCTTAAGATCGAGGGAATGTGAAAATTGGCACGAGCCGTCGTTACTTTTGTAAGACAATATAAACGTACTCATTCAAGCCCATTATGTAAAATGACACGAAAAATAATATTCTAAACAAATAACAGTCACGGGTAATAAAAAAGCATCAAAATCTATACATACAATCAGTTACTGCAATAACGCAGCATGAAACATGCCTGACATTATTTTGGCGTTAAAGAGCAGCTTAGGTTATTGTCAAATGAACCTAAATGTATGTAAGAACTGAACAGTTAATACCACAAACTTGATAGAAGATAAAACGACAAGGTCAGTTAAACCCAATAATTAGGTGCACAAATTTCTTCGACTGGAACATTTCAAAAAACAGCTAAATAATGGTCTATTTTTCTAGTCTAATAAACAAGATTGAAGTGATAGAAAAGGAAAATCTAGTGAGAAAATAAAAGCTACGCTTAAACTTTAATATCTGTTAATCCCTTGTCAATTTAATTCCCAAACGGGAATTAAGGTTCAGGCGAAAAGAAAGGAAAATGCAAATATGCTATATGACGTTTAGCATGATAGTCTATGTTAAACACTGATGTCACAAACAAAGTACACCTACCTTAACCTTCTTCACTTCAGTAGCTTGAGCCTCAACAGTACAGTTGTTGTGAACGAAACCTATTGAGCCACAAAGCTAATGTTTCAAATGACGTACAGAAGAATTTAGATTGCTTACACTCATTGCTATGGCCATTTTCGCTTCAGTAACTGTATCCATGGGAGATGATGCAAAAGGAACCTTCAAAGAAAATCGTTTGCATATTTTGCTGGTAATATCAACTTCACTTTTTCCAAACTCAACAAATCCTGGTAGAATGATTACGTCGCTTTGTAACGTAAGAAGCTAGTGAAGAAAAACGTACCTAAACGTTAGTCCAAGCTCTCGTTTGAATAACTCTGATGCAGAAACCCCGTCCAAATCGCATAAATCACTTTGACTTGACATTCTGCCTATCTAAGACGTACAAATACACAAATGGTTGAGAAATAACTAATAAAATCCCTCGCTACCTGACAATGCGCTATTTTAAATTTGTTCGGCGTAATATGACCTTTGAAGTGATTCGAAAAAATGGATACTTGAACTTCAGCTTTCAGCACATAAATTAGGTTTACAGACATATAATAATTCTTGCAATTTGTAAGTGTTGACATTCAATCTTGCCTTGAATGTATCAACAGGAAGCGCCGATATTACTAGCCTCAGTATAGAATTCTAATAATTCACTACACGATGAGTGAAGGCTTACAAACGCAATACGTTCAGTTAAACCTATTTCCACTCGACTACAATCAACTGATGTTTTTGTTCAACCTGACTCACGATATTGTACACACGTTTTCGTTCGTCGAGACTCACACGGACGACCTCTCGAATCAGCATACGAAGGACCTTTCAAAGTACTTCAACTCGAACCAAAGTACTACATAATCAATTAGAACGGAACCAATGATAGCACCAGTATCGATCGCCTCAAAGTAGCGTATTTAGAAGGAAATCTTATTCACGTCGATTTTCCCTCTGTACAACCACACTACACTACTCCTACACTTAAAATACCTCAACCGACAGCCAACACACACGATGATACTTCGGCAGTATCAGAAAATAAACTTCAAACAACGCGTTCTGGAACACGAGTAAGATTCCCGGAACATTTAAATGATTATTGTACGTGGGATACTAGTTGACATTTCATATCATTTCGATTTTTCTTCGTGCTTTATGTAATAAAAAACCAGTTTTATTATGGTGATATATTTATAATTCTATTTCAAAAAGCAAAACAAAAAAACCATATAAAAGTTCTTTTTAAGCTAGTTCGTGTGCATGAATTTGTAATGATCTACTTTTGTCAACAGAACGCGATTGGTGCAATGAAAACAATTATTATTTTAACCAATTGTACCAGTGATTGTTTTACTGTGCTCGTTTGTTTACCTATGCTAATGACAGCCATTACACTTACTCTCCCGTTGACTTTGGACTTGTACGAATTCGGTTACGCTCAGTAACCACGCTTGTACTCCTTTGGCACGGTCTCGGTATTCTTTCGATACCACGAGATCGCCAGCAAATACATCTCGACTACAGCCATCATCTGTCTTTTGATATTGGCCTACGAGGATCTTATTGGTTAATTGGCACGTAGTCTTGTAGCGGTGTTCATAGTCAAGCTCAACTCGACACCACGCTACAAGTTTATTTACCATGATTTTGCCCGCTTTGCGTTTTCATGCACGTACGAGTGCATTTTGACATGCACTTACATACATTTTTCCTTTTTCAGGATGGCTGGAAAAGACAATGAAAAGAACGATGAAGTTTGCGATAAAGGAAATCTCCATTGTACTTTTTCTTTTTTTACTATATCTTACTTCATGGTCCCTTATAGTTAGGAAAGACGACCAGACGCTTCTAAACCTAGGAAGCTATCAGCAGAGTGCTTACCAACGAAAAACTCGTTAGGTTTAAACTTCTGGCTGGCCACGTCTTAGGGTCATCACTGCTCCACTAGGGGGGAGTGATCTGTAGCGGTAAACAAATTCCCCAAAATAGCTCTGTAAGTTGTTGACATTGGATGCTGACCACATTATTTTTAATGCACTCATTTAGCTAAAGGCGCTCGGTCATGCATTCGTACCAGACCACGTGTGGGAACGCCGTGCTCAACATCTACTGCAATCGCTAGCCAGATTAGATCAGACGACCTTAGATATATTGATAGCTTATCAAATATATCTTCGAAACTCCTCGCTTCTGTCTTTTGATTTCGCTTGGTGGGTACGCTTCATATTAGGTGTTACTGGCTAAAGCGCTATCAAACTCCGAATACCTGTGGCATTATCAAGAGGAACGTAACTTCAGGCATAGACTATGTGATATTGGTTTTTGATCAGTCCCAGATGGGAGAAAAAGATAAGACTCAGTAATACCAAGATAATCGTTCATTATACGACAGGCCAATATTAGGTCACCCCATAACCTGCGGTAAGATAACAGAAACAGGTTTAGGCGTCTCGGCCTGTCATCACAAAATAAGCTAGGATCACCCTTGTGTATTTTTTACTCTCGCCGTTGAACTCCTTGTATATCCACCTCATACTTGAAATAAGGACTTGCTGTTTGAACCTCATACTCCAAATGCGGACTTACAAAAGTCTGGTATAGTACCCTAAACATTTACTCGTCCATGAACTGGAATAGCCCACAAGACCCTTAAGCCCTTGGCAGTGGCAGCCTTGAAGTTGCTCGCAGTTTTGAGGCCGTTGTTTATTATGACTCCTAAAACCTTATTGTCAGTTACTTTAAGTAGCGTAACTTTACATATTGTGTAATAGTATGGATCATCCCACTTATTTGTTCCTATCACCACACTCTTGACAAAGTTAACTTCTAGTAACTACCTACCCATCTCTTCAACCAGCGAATTTAGGTCAGACAGTAATATTTTCCTATCTGACATACAATATATGGGTCCCCAAATTTTTATATCGTCTGAAGAGGGTGAGAGAGATGACTTTAATACAGTTGGTCAATAATTTGCATTAAGTGTAAAAAGAGTAGGGTCGAGAATGGCATCTTGGAGGAATCCACTTTTTGCAGATTCCCCCGTTGGCAAAGTCCCTTTTACTCCTGCTCGTTGTCTAGTATCACTGAAAAAGTCACTATTCCAGTTTATGATTCCGCAAGGGATTCGAAAACTTCCGAGTTGTAACTTAAGACCAAGGTGAGAAACCATGCCAAAGAATTTGCCTAAATCTATGAAAATTGTATCTACTGAAATATAACCACCTTTCTCTACAAATAAATCTTTTCTTGCAATGGAATTTGTCAAGCATGAAAGACCTTCTCTAAAGCCAAGTTGTCACCTGGCTAATAGATTAATCCCTATCACACAGTTTAGAATAACAGACCGGATGATCTTTTCCATTGGTTTGACGACTACACTGGGTAGATCAACGTGTCAATATCTATTAAGCAATTCTTCACCCCATGCTCTATGAACCGGACTGAATATTACGTTTTTCGATCTTATGCTTTTATGAGTGCCTCAAAGACATTTCAAACAGTATCGCAAGTGGTTCTGATGTGGTGAACGAGAACTCAAGCGGGGACAATTGAATGTATATGAATACAAAATTACAGAACGTCCTAGTAAAATCTGAGAACCATACAGTAAATACCTAATTTACAAAATGTCAATCAATTGTCTCAAACTTGACTGTCCATTCCTCAAATTTCAATCAATCATCTCAGACTTCACTGTTCCTTCAATTCCACACCAGTCATTCCTTATTCTCGTTCTATTTTCTTCGTTCTTCTCCACCTTCAGCTGCCAAGTATTTCACTTTCGATTGATCATACATACTACTTATATCTATGGATATCAGTAGCACACACAATACTACAGTTGCTTTAACCTTTTCCGAATCATCCATAGGTCCGACATATGAGTCAGGGTTGTTTGATCCCTAAACTACATACAATAATATTTGACCAGATTAACCTTTATCCAGCTGTGCTAGGGCTAAATTTCACCTTATCTTGGGACTTTTGCGGTGTACTTTGTGACAAAGACTTATCAACTAAACGGACGCTGTTTTTGCTTTTTTTTCTTTTAGTCACCGCACGGTCGTCCATTTCCCGTCGTGAAACATTTACATTTGGACTACTTAAAACGCTAATGGATTTATCTGGATCCTCAAGTACTAGTTTAGAATCGTGACTACCAACATCCAGTGATACTTCACTCTAGTAGCTATCAGAACTCACTAGCTAAGTGGATGATATGATGTCGTCTGAAGATGGAGGTACTGGGTTCAAATATGTGAATGAACATGAACTCTGGATGCAGGTGCATTCAGCTGACGGGACTAAGATAGGACAAAACGCCATGCACCGTACATCTGTGCTTACAAAATTTGTGATTTAAAGCAATATCGAGGTAATCCGCATAGGATGCATATATGCCAATAAGATACTGATCAATAGTAGTCTTAAACATCATTGTGAAGATTCAAATAAACGAAACAAAAGGAATCTGTTTATTCTTTATTTATTTCAAAGGGGAGTTTCTTCTTTTTTAATGATTCTCAGTCGGGTGTTTGACTCATCCAGTAATAGGACAGACTGCACTCACACTTTGACATCAGTACTCGCGCTACTGATGCAGCTACCACCAACTTTTCTGAAGGACATAGTCAGGAGACCTTTTCGCCCCGATGGGTCAGTGATGTTCTTCTCGTGTAACAGAAGATACAGGGTCAATGGGAGTTAGGTTTTGAGCATCTTTCGTATGGGGTCGGACTTTGATCGATGCGTATCTTGCAGAACCACTTTCTACACCAATAACATTTCATTACTTCCTCCACATGTAGGGAATCATTCGACAGCTCACATTTCTAAGTGCAGTCGACCATTGTAGACAAATTAAAAAGGTTGAACAAAATTGACAAGAATGAACACTATAAACAAAAGTGTGAAAATCTGCTAACAGTGAGTACCATAGCACGAGGTTGATGAAGATTTCAAACCTTTGTTTTCGAGTTAAAGTAGATCAAGTATGATTCTCATGAAATAAATATACAAAAGCAAGTTGATTTTCAACAAATATGAAATTACTCCTTTCAAAACGTGCGCATGAAAAGAAAGAAAATTAGTTAGTTTCATCTGTGTTAAGTTCTACAATGTGTTTTCTACTGACAATCCAGCTTCTTCTAAAAATAATTAATTGATATTTCTGATAACACTTTTACGGATGGGTCTTTCAGTAGAACACTGTTAGTCAACGAGCGGGTCAAAGTAGAGATAAAGTGAACATCCAAACTACTGTCCATAATACAGAATGTTATTGTGACAAAGACTGTCGATTCACGTTAAGATCATGTAGGTAGATCCAGAATTTCATATTTGTGAAAATCGCTTGATCAAAGACCACAAAATCAGGTTTTACGCGTTTGGTATATGATGTCTACCTGCAGTAAGTAACTGTCAATGAATATGGTTTCCAGATCCTCACGATCAGCGGTTTTACCAAGGATTTTCGGTCCATATTG